CCAATCTTCTCCTAGTCAACAACAACTCATGAGATGCAACTTTTGTGGAGGTGATCATTCTAATGGTCATTGCTCTTTTCAGAATATCTCACAAGAAGGAGAAGTGCAATATGTGAATAATCAAGGAAGAGCAGACAATTTCTCCAACAATAATAACTTTTCATAGGGATGGAGAAACAATTCAAATCAATATTCTGGCTGGAATCATGATGTAGGCACATCTCAAAGACAACCTCCTCAAAGATCTTACCAAGCCCAGCCGAACTATCAGCCAGACAAGTTAACAAAGATGGAGGAAGCTCTTACACAATTCATGCAAGCTTCCACATCAAACCAGAAAAACACAGAGGCTTCAATCCGAAATTTGGAGATGTCGGTGAGACAACTAGCTAAGCAGCTGACTGAGCAATAGGACAATCAGTTTTCAGCTAATACCCAAGTCAATCCTAAGGAACATTGTAAGTCTATCACAACCAGGTGAGGCACTATCATAGGAAGAGGAATTGGTGAGAATTTGGAAGAAAACACTAATTTAGCTGATGAAAAATATGTTGCACCTGCAAATGAGAAAGAGAATCTAATGGAGGGGAATACTGCACAAAATGAAAATGAGAAATCAGAGGATGCACTCCGAAAGAATGAGGATAATAGTGCGAAGAAGGAGAAAATTAAGAAGAAACATAAAGATGATAAAATACCTCCAATGAACTATTTGCCTTATCCACATGCTCCATCAAAGAAAAATAAGGAAGGACGGTTTGTTAGATTCCTTGATATTCTCAAGAAGTTACAGATAAATATCCCTTTCATTGAAGCCATGGAACAAATGCCAACTTATGCCAAGTTTATGAAAGAGTTGTTGACAAGGAAGAGAAAATTTAATGAACAAGAGACAATTACACTGGAAGCTGGATGCAATGCCATTATCCAAAAGTTCTACCTCAAAAATCTAGAGATCCAGGAAGTTTCACCTTACCTGTGACAATTGGAAATCTTACAGTTGGCAAGGCATTATTAGATCTTGGAGCCAACATAAATTTGATGCCCCTATATATGTTGAAAAAGATAATAGAGGTAGAAATGATACCCACAAGAATGACATTAAAACTTGTTGATAGATCAGTAAAATATCCACATGGTATAGTTGAAGATCTTAGTTAAAGTTGATAAATTCCTGTTCCCTATTGACTTTGTGGTAATGGATATAGAGGAAGATGTTGAAGGTCCTCTTATTCTCGAGAGACCCTTCATGAAAGTAGCTAAGGTAATAATTGATGTTGACCAAGGGAAACTGAAGGTGCGAGTGCAGGATGATGAAGTGAATTTTGATGTTTTTGAAGCACTGAGGCATCCAAGTGATAAGAAGGAGCATTTTCAAATTGATGCACTTGATGAATGTTGTGTGGAAGCTCAAGAAAAATTCTCTACTGTTGAACCATTGATGAAAGCATTGTTGAATTCCATTGAATATGTCAATGTGGAGGAGGAAGTAAAAAGGAATATCTCAGATTTGGATAAAGTTAAGGAAGTTTCTCCTCCTACAGCACACAAACTAGAGCTAAATATAGAAAAATTTCTTCACTCTCCAACCTTAGAATTGAAACAACTGCCATCACACTTGAAATATGTTATTCTTGAATAAAATGGAGGCAAGCCGGTGATACTAAGCAGTTCACTGTCACCAGAGGAAGAACATAGAGTGGTTGAGGTGCTAAAGGCCAATAAAGGAGCCATAGGATGGATGTTATCATATTTGAAGGGAATTAGTCCTTCGTATTGTATGCATAAAATTTTGATGGAGGAAGACTACAAACTAGTCACCCAACCTCAGAGGAACCTAAATCCTACGATGAAAGAGGTGGTAAGAAAAGAGGTAGTAAAGCTACTTGAAGCTGACATGATATATCCCATATCTGACAGAGCTTGGGTTAGCCCAGTGAAAGTTGTTCCCAAAAAAGGGGGGATGACAGTGATATGCAATGAGAAGAATGAGCTCATTCCTACAAGAACTATCACGGGTTGGAGAATGTGTATAGATTATAGAAAGTTAAACCAAACAACAAGGAAAGATCATTTTCCACTCCCCTTCATGGATCAGATGTTGGAAAGGTTGGTTGGTCAAGCCTACTACTATTTTCTTAACGGTTATTCAGGGTACAATCAGATTGCAGTAGACCCTAAGGATCAATAAAAAACTGTTTTCACATGTCTATTTGGTGTTTTTGCATACAGGAAGATGCCATTTGGATTATGCAATGCGCCAACCACCTTTCAATGGTGCATATTTTCCATTTTCTCAGACCTGGTAGAGAAGAGTATAGAGGTTTTCATAGATGATTTCTCAGTGTTTGGTGAATCTTTTGACTCTTGTTTGAAGAATCTAGACACGGTATTGAAAAGGTGTGTGGACACAAACCTAGTTCCTAATTGGGAGAAATGTCACTTCATGGTGAAGGAAGGGATTGTACTTGGCCACAAAATTTCTGAGAAAGGCATTGAAGTAGATCTAGCCAAAGTTGATATTATAACAAAGCTACCACCTCCTGGAAATGTCAAGGGAATCAGAAGTTTCTTAGGCTATGCTGGATTTTACAGGCGCTTCATAAAGGATTTCTCTAAGATTGCAAAACCACTAAGCAATCTTCTCCTTAAAGACTCTAAATTTAGTTTTGATAATGACTGCAATAATGCTTTTTCTTGTCTGAAACAAAAACTGAGTTCATCTCCTATAATCACTGCACCAGATTGGAAATATAATTTTGAATTAATGTGTGATGCAAGTGATTATGCAGTGAGAGCTGTACTAGGTCAAAGGATGAACAAATTTTTCCATGTCATACACTATGCAAGTAAGGTTTTGAATGAACATCAAATCAATTACGCAACCAGTGAAAAGGAGCTTCTTGCAATAATGTATGCTCTGGAAAAAATTCGTTCTTATTTAATAGGATCAAAGATCATTGTCTACACTGATCACACTGCCATTAAATACCTTTTGAAAAAATCATATTCCAAGCCAAGATTGATTCGCTGGGTGTTGTTGTTGTAGGAGTTTGATCTTGAAATCCGAGATAAGAAAGGTTCTGAAAATTAGGTAGCAGATCACTTGTCAAGACTGGTAAATGAAGAGGTAACCACTCTAGAAAGTGATATCCTAGAAGAATTTTCCAATGAACAACTATTCTCCATCCAGGAAAGACCATGGTTTTCTGACATGGCAAATTTCAAGGTTGTTATTCTTATCCCAGAGCATTACAACTGGCATCAGAGAAAGAAGTTCCTAAAGGATGCAACTCACTATGTTTGGGACGATCCACATTTATTCAAAATAGGTGCAGATGGATTGTTGAGAAGATGTGTTTTGGGTGTGGAGGTTAAAGACATTCTCTGGCATTGTCATAACTCACCCTATGGAGGCCATTACAATGGAGAGAGCACTGCAACAAAAATTCTTCAGTCAGGTTTTTATTGGCCCACTGTCTTTAAAGATGCTCATGAACATTGCAAAAGTTATGACAAGTGTCAAAGCTTAGGTGGGATCTCAAAAAGACATGAAATGCCTCTAAATACTATTTTGTAGGACCACTACCATCTTCTTCCTCCACTGACTATATTCTGGTAGTAATTGATTATATGACGAAATGGGTTGAAGCAGTAGCAACTTCTAAGGTTGATGAAAAAATAGTAATCAAATTTCTCAAAAGAAATATTTTCTGCAGGTTTGGCCCCCAAGAGTATTGATTACTGATGGCGGTTCACATTTTTGCAATGCTCAACTTCAGAAATGCTTGGCGCATTATGGAGTTCGACATAAGATTGCATCACCTTATCATCCATAGACTAATGGACAAGCAAAGGTGTCAAACAGAGAAATCAAGCGCATTCTAGAGAAAACAGTGGCATCTTCAAGAAAGGATTGGTCAATGAAGTTGGATGACGCACTATGGGCCTATAGAACTGCTTATAAATCACCTGCTGGTCTATCCCCATTTCAGCTAGTGTATGGTAAATCATGCCACTTACCGGTCGAGTTGGAGCACAAGGCATTCTGGGCCTTGAAATTTTTGAATTTTGACTCCAAAGCAGCAGGAGAGAAAAGAAGATTACAACTGCAAGAACTGGAAGAAATGAGACTCAATGCCTATGAGTCCTCTAAGATCTACAAGGAAAAAATGAAAGCTTATCATGACAAGAAAATTATCAAGAGAGAATTTTATCCAGACCAATCAGTATTAATGTTTAATTCCAGGTTAAAGTTATTTCTTGGAAAACTCAAATCAAAATGGTCAGGACCATTTCTTGTCAAGGCTGTTAAACCTTATGGAGCTATTATGTTAGAGGATCCCGAATAAAAAAGAAGTTGGGTTGTAACTGCACAAAGATTGAAGCACTATTCTGGTGGTGAGGTTGCCAAACTTGCCACAATCATCCAATTGGACGAACCATAATGATGCAGGCGTCAAGCTCATAATGTTAAACAAGCGCTTCCTAGGAGGTCACCCAAAATCTTAATTATGTTTCTGCATTTTGGTTTTACCTTTTTTGTAAATGCGTTTGTGTTTCCATTTTGTGTTATGTGAAAAATGTGCTCTCTGGCGCTTTTTTGCTTAAGCAAGATTGGTCTCGCCTGGGTGAAAGTTTTTATTCAAAAATATAATTAGTAATAATAATAAAATATTTTAACCTAAGCGAAACCAAGCGACACCACAGTTAAATTTCAAAACTGAGGAAAATGTTTACACACTCCCTCTCCCCTCCCACACACTCAAGCATAATACACTTTGCTCTGCATTCCTCACACTCTTCTCTACATTCGCTCTGCAATCTCTTTCATCTTTAGCTAATTCCCTTTCGAGATAAGTTCTCCTTCACTGGTCTTCATGTGTTTGGTCGGTTATTTGAACTTCTACATGTTATAGCATGTACCCTTGGAAATGGTTACGGAGTTAAGGAAACTGACTTTGGACATTTTTGTTGATAACTTTGATTTTTGTAGGAAAATGCCCAGAATAAAGAATTTAGCTCAATGTCCTCCTATGAAATCCAACAAGGAAAAGAGGCAAAAAACCTCTAGTCCCCTGCCTGAACGAGCCACGAGTCCCTCACCAGAAAGACCCAATAGAAACTTATCCACGGACCTCAAAAGACAGTTGAGGTATGAAGAGATCAAGCACTGGGTCTTTATCACAGAAAGGAAGGTGGAATTATATCCAGGGGAATTTGATCCCCTCTTGATTGGCCTTATAAGAAGGCATTGGAACTGGATATTAGCTAACCTTCTGCCCAAGTTTGATCTGGAGATTGTTAGACAATTCTATGCTAATGCTTATCCCTCAAATGACCCTGGAGACAAGCGGTCTAAGGTAAAAGGTGTTAGAAAAAGAGGTTGTGATTAAGAGGGGGGGTGAATTGATCTTTGAAATATTTTCACACTTTCTTGATACAAATTATCTATTTCAAAGATTTTGAATTCTGATCACTTTTTGAATCAATAAAAACAAGCAATTAAATTTAGAGCAACGACAAAATTAAAGAGAGTAAGGTTTAGAGAAATACAACCAAGATTTATACTAGTTCACCCAAACCACATGGCTACATCTAGTTCTCAGCCAAATTCCAGCTGAGTTTCACTAGATTGAATGTTTTACAGATTACAATTTTGAATCACACAACACTCAATCTATCCCAAGAACCAAATTCCAATTCTTGCATCAAATTCGAGTTCTTGTTAAAACCTGCAAGCAAATTCCAATCACAAAAATCATGCCCAATAATTCTAGGCACTCATAATACAGAAAAGATTTACAGAAAACAAAGGAGAAGAAATCAGAACACTCAAACCCGATTATGTAGCTCCTGCAGTATGAGTTTCTTCACCAAAAGAAAGCAAAAATTGTCTCAAGAAAGAACTTTGAAAAACTCCACAAAACTTGCGGGATTCTTTCTTGAAAATTGCTCTTATGATTGCTTGATTGATTGCTAAAAGATGTGTTTTAAAACGTTAAATCAAATCTATTTATATAGAGTCATTTCTAACTAACTGGTTTAATTGGTTAAAGCTTTCATTTAATCGGTTATTAAATCTTGATTAATCGATTAATTCTTCTTTTAATCGGTTAAAATGTGTTTGATCATTTTTAAAATTTTTTTTAACTGATGCGATGACGTTTTAATCGATTAAAACAGTTAAACAAAAATTATCTAAGTTGTTTTAATCGATTAATTCGTGTTTTAATTGATTAATATTTTGCCAAATATTTTCACAAAACTTCCTAAGTGATTTTAACTGATAACAGTAAGTTTTAATCGATTAAAACACTTGACAGAAATTCCTTTAAGTTGTTTTAATCGATTAATTTGATATTACATCGATTAAAATTCTGGCAGAATACTTTTCAAAACATCTCAAGTGATTTTAATCGATTAATTCGAAGTTACATAGATTAAAATACTGCCGGAACACTTTTCAAAACATCTTAAATAATTTTAATCGATTATTTCAAATCTATATCAGTTAAAATACTGGCATAAGGTTTTCAAATACTCTTTTAATAAAAATAATCGATTATTTCGAAGGTGTATCGATTAAAACAGCTCCAACAAATGTTTTAAATGGTTTTAATCGATTATTTCAAAAACATATCAGTTAAAACTATTTCTTAAGAACAATTTAACCGATTACTTTGGTTTTTAACAGATTAAAACATCTTTAGAGGCATTTTCAAATTATTTCAAATGATGAAACCTCATGCAGCAAAGAGATATGAATGAATACCTATTAATATTGATGATCACTCACTAATCACTCTACCCTTAAACCCAAGCAGCCTTTGACTTCATCAAATTCACAAGATCTTCATTTTATCAAAAGATCCAATAAGATCTTCATCACTTACAGTCTCCCCCTATTTGATGAAGACAAACATCTCTTTGAAAGATATTAATCTGCAAAAGAAATCACTTGGATATATAGATTAGTGAGTATTCAGTATTAATTATTCTCCCCCTTTGACTTCATCAAAAATAGGGAGGAAAAAAAAGCTATATAACAAACATGTAAAATATTTTGAGACGTATTCTGGTCATAACAAAAGATATATCATTCTATCAAGGACAATTAAAGTTGATTCAATCTTATCTTCCTTAATACGTTTGTGATGAACACAATTAATACATGTAAAGATAAGGGAACCTTGCTTTAGTAGCATGTTTACAAAAACAACCATTAACTAAACCCTTTAATTTGTTTTGCAGAATAATAATCGATTAAAAACAGGGCATAATCAATTAAATCGATCCTCTTAATGAATTTAATTGATACAAATGAAGTTTTAATCGATTAAAACAGTAATGACAAATGTATATTAAAAACTTAAGATCATTTAATCGATTAAAACAAGTACCATCAAGTATCATTATAAGTAATTTTAATCGATTAAAGTTGATTTTTATCAATTAAAATACTTAGAAACAAAAATTAAGTGATGTTTGATGCATCTAGGATTTTCTATAGCTAAAATATTTATAAGCAAGAAGTTTTATGATCCAGTTGATCTGTTTGTTTCAGTTTATATGAAAAGATTTTTCTTGATTCTTAAAGTCAAGTTACTTATTCTAAATTCAATTTTTTAAAAAATTATATTGGAACCTGTTTATGAATAGGATTAATTGATTAAAATTATTTCTTTTTCAACTAAAACTTATTAGAGTGTGTGGATTATATTTTTAATATCTCTAATTTCGTGCTAATCTAAACAACTCGTATCATATTAAGGATAGTTCAAATAGTGTTTCTGATAAAAGATCAGTTAATATTACATACCAGTTTCTGATTAAAAATAGAAATAATAGCTAATAAAAGAAACATAAAAAAAAATATTATGATATAAAGAACCCTTCTTATCGATGAAATCAGTCATCCCGAGCTTCCTTGATTCAACCGCATATCTTTCAATTTGGTATAGATATCAACAATTTGATTTCCAAGATTGGAGAATTGCATGTTGGTCTGTGGGAAGTGCTGATAAGTCATCTGTATATGATTTCTTTGGTTTTCTTGCAATGAGGACATTTGGGAGAGCATGGTCTGTTCAAACTGGGAGAGAGGAGTTCCTCTGTCAGGTTGCTCTATGTAGAGTATGATCTCCATGTTCTCATATGAGGTTTGGCCACCAATGGACTTGGGAACCTCAGCAACTAGAGGAGAAGCATGTTCCGGTTCATCTTCATCTTCAGTCATCCCAACTTCAATTTTTGAGATCCATTCTCCATCAATTTTGATAAATCCCATTTTTCGCAAAGTGGAATCATCAATTTCGTTTGAAGCTTTGGGAGTCTCCCCATATTCTCCTTCTAGATCCACTGCAAAATGTCTAAAATATTTGTTGATTAACAAAGGATAAGGCAGTTTATAATCAGAAAGTCTCTTGGCTTTTATCATATGGTATTTGATAACATAGACCCAGTTCACACGGATCCTATTTTAAATGCAGTACATGAGAGTCAAATCACCCTCATTGAGTAAAGCATGATTACTTCCCCTTGGAGTAAGCATCCAGGCAATAATGAAGGTAAGAATTCTTGGTTCAAGCCTCATTCTTCTAGCATTAAGAATTCTTACCGAATCATCTTGATCTTTGAGACAAGTACGGAAAAATTAAATTTTGTTAAAATCTGGTAACTCTACAATATTACCTCTAGAAACTTTTACACCAACATCTTTAAGGTCAGCTACTTCTTCTCATACTTCAGGAGTAATGACCATATTAACACCTTCTACCTGAGATCTTATTATAGAGCCACTGACCGTGAGATTTGAACAAAATACTCTCACCAAATCTGGTTGAATGTTGTCGGTGTACTCCAGGAAATTCTTCAATTTTTTACTCTTCAGTTTTCTTCTTAATGAAGTGAAACCTTCTTCATCCAGCTAGACAAACTTTGTGAATCACCAGTTGCTTTTGACTGAAGTGAGTGATGAAGTTGTTCATCTTCTCTATATCACCACTGAACCAATTTTCAAGATGACCACCTTGATTTCTAGTAGAGGAGGATTCTTCTTTTTGCTTCTTTCTTCCAAATTTTGATCTTTTAAACATTTTTGCTCAAAATTTTCGAAGGAGAAATTTGTTTGAGGAGAAGAAGAAGACTTGAAAAGATGAGATATGAAAGTTGAGTTTAGAGAAGAATTTGAAGAACCAGATTTTTGCTGAAGGATAGAGGCCAAATTTCAAATTTTTGTTTAAAGTCCATTGATTCAAGCTTGCAGTTATTTTGAGCTTTATCTGGTCATGTTCCCATGACCGTATACAAAAGCACATGTTCTGGGCAGTGGGTACATAAAATATCGACTATTTTGTTCTTTTAAGAAGATAGACATTGACTTGGTCAACAGAGCTGTTAAATGCTTTTACAGAGGTAGATAGAAAATGAATCTTGACAAATTAGCCCTTGATTTGCTGAATATTATGTAATTAAACCATATTAAAGTAATCTCTAAAAGCGAATTAATCGATTAATCATCAAATTAATCAATTAATTTGATATGGAATCGTAGGCTTAGAAATTGCAACAGTGTAATAAACGATTAAAATAGAAAAGAATCGATTATTTTTGTACTGGATATGGATAATGAAATAACAACAGATTTTTAATCGATTAAAACGAAAAAGAATCAATTAAATTTAATCCTTTAATGATTTTAACTGATGTAAATCACTTTTAATCAATTAAAACTGAGACTATAAATCTATACTGAAATCCTAAGAACATTTTAATCGATTAATTCGTAGAATAATCGATTAAAACAGTATGAATATTTTTTCCGAAATCTTCTGTTAATGATTTTAATTGATTATTTTGAAAAACTAATATGTTAGATATTGTTTAGATATTGTTTAGATATAGTTTGATATTGTTAGATATTGTTAACCACAATATCAAACAATATCTTCTGTTTATTCTGTTTACTTTTGGTTACTCTTTTAGTTGTACATTTCTATTATAAATAGATTACCCTATGTGTGATTTATACACAAGGGAGATTAATTTCAAACCCTATTTCTTCTATATTCAACATGGTATCTAGAGCTTAAGGTTATTTTGAAAATTTTTTTTTTCGCCTTTTGTCCACTGCTGGAGCCGCCCCATCGCTGCTGGTAAACTGATCCTCCACATCATAAAAGAATTATCTTTGTTACTGAATTTTATTTGGTAGTGTGAAAGTGCATGTCTAGGAAAGTTTTGACAAGGAAAGACTTGGTATTTAAGTGTGTCCATTAGTGACCCATCTCTCTTTCTTAGGAACTTACCTGGTGTACTCGTTCACGTTGCTGTCACTGCGGCCGCTGGAGCAGTCACCGGATACGCCGCTGTCAGAGAATTCGCCGGAGTTTCA